ATTTGGGTAAAAACAGCACAGGCCCAGAGGGAAAGCTAGTAAACTGTGGGCCAGAGCAATTGAGAGCTGGAAAGAGTCAGAGACACCATCAAGTTCAGCCTCCTTTTTTTTTTTTGGATGAGGAAAAGGATGCTGAGAGAGATTGTGTAATTTGATAAAAGCCACACAACTGAGTAGAAACAGTAGATGGTCCTGAGAGGGAAAGGTTCCACAAACACAAGTGCAGGAAGAGAGATGGATCCATGTAGAACCTAGGAAGACCAAAGACCCAGGAACCAAGACAGAAGCAGAGTGAGAACACTCTGCCAAATCCTTTCTGAAATGAACCCTGTATGCTAAATAATTAAGTATCCATGAATACATCTAAAGATTTGCCTTAATGATATGATAAACATATGATCTACTGTAGATTTATTTGCTCCGCCAATGGACTCTTTGAAAAATATTTCCATTCTTCATCATATTAACATTTATTTAGAGTCTTTTCAAACTCTCAGTCATTGCTGAAGATCCATGAAATACCAATTGCTTCTAAATTAAAATACATCCCAGATAGGTAAAAGGTTAACATGTGGAGAGAATTAAAATCGCAAAAGTGTTAGAAGAAAATATAGTTGATTAATTATATTATTTTGTATTACAGAAGGTCTTTATAAGCCCATGACCAAAGGCAGAAATCACACAAATAAGAGGTTGGTGTGACTACAAAAACATCCAAAACTTTCATAGGGAAAAAGTAACACCATATGGAAGTCAAAAGACACAAACTGAAAAGATACAGTTGCAACAGAGTTATTTACAACAAAGAGTTAAAGCCCGTATTGTTATGCATCAATAAGAAATACATCTTCTTCTATTCCCAGCAAAAAGCAAAGGTCACAAAGAAATAAAAAATAAGAAAAGTGAAAACATGAAAATAAGTATTTGAGGCAATGCAGATGTACAGTGAACCCTTTTTGCCCCTGTCAAGCAGACTGACATGAATACAAAAGGACACTGGCCAATATTAGAATTGTGTGGAGACGGTGATAATTGCATACCCTACTGGTGAATTAGAAACTGGTTAATTCTTCTTAGAAGAAAATATATTTCAAATGCCTTTAAAATGTATATGCCTTTTGTGAGCACTGCTCAGTACCAAGCTTGGATTTTCTAATCTTTTCAGGCAGATTTGTGGGAAGAAAAACACCAGCCGAGGTATATAGAGAAAAAGAGTTTATTTACAAAGAAAGGAAAAAAAAGTTTATTTACAAGGATACCTAGAGACGCTCACAAACTTCAACACCGGCAATAAAGCAGCACGGGTTTTCGCAAGTCCAAACCAAATCACCATCGAAGCTCAGTTCGGCTTCTGCTAAACAATCTTTTATACTTTTTAAAACAAAGAAGGGTCAAGTCAGGACACTGTCCACGTCTTCATCATGTAACTAACATCCTTGAGGTGTTTACCAAAAACTGGATCAGGGAACTGGCCAGGTTCCCAGGTCCGGCTCTTCAGAGCCTTTTTTTGCATTGGGAAAATTCTGAGCTCAGAATACTCCCAATGATAAGGAAATGAAGACAACATAAAGTCTGTCCATGAGTTGTAAACTTAATTAACTCCTTCTGTTCCATTACACCTTTCAACCTAGCAATTCGACTTAAAAGTGTGATTAATTCTAAAGAATCAATTTTAAGGAAAAACTGGGCAACAGGTGTGCAAAGGTTTTCGTAAAGATTATATTATTACAGTATCATATAAAGTGGGAATTTTTAAAAATGTAGAAGTTCAATGTGGTGCGATAGCAAAACAAGTGATAGTGTGTTCACAGAATGGATGCAGATACTGAGCAAGGTGTTTCAGTTGTACATTTATTGCTTGGAAAATGTTTCATATATTAAGTGCAAAGAGCAAGTTTCAAAACAATGTGTACATTATGATCCCATTTCTTCTTTTTTTTAAAAACACATATGTATATTTATAGAAAAAAAATAGAAAAGGCTGTTCCCTAAAAGTAAAAGTAATTAAATTTGAGTAGCATGACAGAATCTGTTTTGTATTGTACTTCTCCATAAACAGTACACTACGGTTGCCACAAGGACTGTTACATTGGCCATCAGGCAAACGGAGACAGGGAGATCTCAAAGTGATTTTTATGTTTTAGCACATTTTTATAGGATATAATTGTCTTAATTGACTAGTAATGAAACATTTTTAAGGCCAGAAATTTATTTAAGAAAATGCCTTTTGGAAAGCCTTTATTGCAAGGGCAAAAGCCGTAATAATAGAAGCTAAATTGAAATTCTAACACACAAAGAGTGACTAGTGGGTTGAAATTCTCCTAAATCAGGCTAAGGCACTAATTCTTTACAGCACAGAGGTGTGGAGCCCAGTTGACAAGCAGATGGTAAAATGGTCCTTCAAAGTGGCTGTTTTTAATAACTTCCTTTGTCATCTACTATCTCATAGCTTTGATCAAAAAAGGCACTGGGCTCTCTTTACTTCTCTATTCAAATATTTTAGAAGAAATCAAATACTTGCAGGAGCGTCATGATTCAAATCAATGTATCACCCAATGAGAGAATTGCAAGGCTTGGGTTTACGGAGATGGTAGAGCAGCTCATTCGCCATTTCACTGATGGGGGTTTACAGGCATAAGCAGGTGCTAATTCATCCCTGCCACTAAAAGCCTTTGATCTTCCGGTCCTGTCTGATGAATTTACTGGAGTTTATGATTTTTCTTAAGATAGCAGAGTAAGTGATGAGAATCAATCCCCAGCCTAATGATCTTGCTCGAATTCCAGTAACGCTATTGACTACTCCATTTTTAAAGACATCCAAATCTACATCTCAGAAACGTGCATCTATGCGGCCCCTGCCTCGAAAGTTCTTCTTGGTGTTAGGTGGTCTATACAGAACAAGGGTTAAGACACTAAATCCTGTGTGTTGCTTGGGAATAAGACAGATATGATACGACTGCCACTCAGGAACTATGAGTCCTTGAGTAAACTTCTTAACTTCTCTAGGCCTTAGTTTCTCCATCTGTATAATGGGGATCATGCAAATAATATCTACTTTGACATGTTGTAGGGAGGACCAGGTGACTAACATATATAGGGTGCTAAATAGAGTGCCTAGCATATAGCCCTCAATGAAGGAGTAACTTGGGTTTTATTTTTATTAACAGTATCTTCTTTTCTAAATCCTCATCAGCTATTTAATTCAACAGTTTTACCTACTATTCATTTTAGATTCATTTCCAGAAAAGTTGTTACTCCAAGATACAAACGTGTATATAAATTTGAGTTCCTCCTTTTATACCAGCTGTTTTTAAAAAAATTATAGCTGGGCCGGGTGCGGTGGCTCATGCCTGTAATCCCAGCACTTTGGGAGGCCAAGGCGGATGGATCACGAGGTCAAGAGATCGAGACCATCCTGGTCAACGAGGTGAAACCCCGTCTCTACTAAAAATACAAAAACTTAGCTGGGCATGGTGGCACGTGCCTGTAATCTCAGCTACTCGGGAGGCTGAGGCAGGAGAATTGTCTGATCCCAGGAGGCGGAGGTTGCAGTGAGCCGAGATCACACCATTGCACTCCAGCCTGGGTAACAGGAGCGAAACTCCATCTCAAAAAAAAAAAAAAAAAAAATTATAGCTAAGAATACTACAGACACAATTAAATCCACTTGTGATAGAACGCTTCAGTGAATCTTTCTATGAAATTTCTGGGGAATATTTTAATATTTTCATGCTCATGAATCTCAGTCCAACTCTATAACTTACTCCAAAAATCACAGTGAACGTGCTCGTTGTGCTGTATGTCTTGTAATAATGACATTTAGACAAAAGCAATGAAAGCTGGCCAGGCACAGTGGCTCATGCCTGTAATTCTAGCACTTCGGGAGGCCGAGGTAGGTGGATCACAAGGTCAGGTGTTCAAGACTAGCCTGATGAACATAGTGAAACCCCGTCTCAACTAAAAATACAAAAATTGGTGGGGTGTGGTGGTGTGCACCTGTAATCCCAGCTACTCAGGAGGCTGAGGCAGGGGAATTGCTTGAACCCAGGAGGCAGAGGTTGCCATGAGCCAGGATGGCACCACTGCACTCCAGCCTGGGTGACAGAGTGAGACTCAGTCTCAAAAAAAGGAAAAAAAAAAAAAAAAGAAAAGCAATGTAATCTGATCTAACCTAGCAATAAATGTGGTATAGCTGATTTCTCTGTAAAATTATCAGTTCCAGCTTCCAGCTACCCCAGACAAGGAGCCTTGGGTAGTCTTGACATGAAATTAAAAGCAAAGCATCTCTTGAGACAAGAACTAAGATCTACAATCACATTTCAAATGGATTTATGCCTTCCAACTAATTGACTTATTAACTATGCTAATGCATTCATGTCTCATCCTTCATATTTTTTTCAATAAGTAATACTATAGAACTCAATGTGAGATACCAGGCTGGAGGGCAGTGGTGCAATCTCAGCTCACTGCACCCTCCGCCTCCCGGGTTCAAGCGATTCCCCTGCCTCAGCCTCCCAAGTAGTGGGTGTGCACCACCAAGCCCGGGTGACTTTTTGTATTTTTAGTAGAGACGAGGTTTCCCCATGTTGTCCAGGATGGTATCAATCTCCTGACCTTGTGATCCACCTGCCTTGGCCCCTCAAAGTGCTGGGATAACAGGCATGAGCCACCGTGCCTGGCCTAGAGATTTCTATAAATGCTTTTTCTACGAGGAACCAGATTAGACTTCCAAAACAGCTTATATATTTTTTGTGTATCCACAAATATTTTATTTCTATAGCAAATGTGTTGCTTCTCAGAAGACACAGCCTCTTTTAATTAGGCATTATAGCCTAAGGAAAGAGATGCTTCAACTTTCTCTATTTGGATAGGATCAACTTGAAAGTGGCAATACTAGATGCACCATGCAGTCTCATCTTCTACCACAGTTATTCAAAATATGAAGAAGGAAACAATGGCAGGTTATTCCCTCTGAACTCCGTGCCTTCTGTTATTCCCAGGTGGTGCTGGGGGCCAGCAAGGCTTCCTGGGCTGCATCCGCTCCTTGAGGATGAATGGGGTGACACTTGACCTGGAGGAAAGAGCAAAGGTCACATCCGGGTTCATATCCGGGTGCTCGGGCCACTGCACCAGCTATGGAACGAACTGTGAAAATGGAGGCAAATGCCTAGAGAGGTACCACGGTTACTCCTGCGATTGCTCCAATACTGCATATGATGGGACATTTTGCAATAAAGGTAAGGCAGAACCCATTTCCAGAGCCATTTTGCACATCTTTATAAGCCCAAATAATCTATTTAATGTTTTTTTATCTGTAAACAAGTGTACTTTATTCTGATCAGAAGTGTACCTAAGATGATCAGAATTTTTCTCTCAACTTAGGAAGTTTCCAACAAAAGTCATTTCCTAATCATTTCTGTTCCATAAGATGAGAGAAGGTTTGCGTTTGGGACAGAATTTCTTCCAGATTCCAGCAAATTATTCACTGCCTGAAACCCTACAAAGACCGCCTCATTACATCTTAATGGTGAGTGACAAAATAGGTGGCCGCCAAAAGGGGACTCAGGCCTGACCCCCCCCCCCACACTAAGATCTCCAACCGATTTGATCGATCTGGCAATTGCTGCAGTGAATCAGCCAGTGCAGCCCAGTGGTCTTGATGCCCCCACCCCCCGCAGTTGCTAAGATACTGGACTCAAGCTCTACTCACCAGAACGCTCCTCTGGTCATTGACGTCATTGTTATTACTCTTACTCAGGATGCCTTTGAGTGGCTCTCAGCCTAAGCTAAACTGCAGAAATACTCAAAAGCCACATCTAATTGGTCAGCTTAGAACATCCGTTACTACTTGGTTATTTTAGTCTTGAATCATTCCTTTAATCCCCAGTCGATTCTGCAGAGCCAATGAGCAGAGTACAAGAGCCCGCGTATATACATGTTACCATTTGAGCTATACCCTGTGATCCTGCATGGCCAGAAGAAAGTTACTCACCTGGTCCGTGGCTTAATTTCCCATATATTAACAAGAGGGATAAAGAGAGAAGGAGCTGATGCTTTTCCTAAGCTGCCATTGAAATGCATGCAAATCACTCTTCTCTTTCTAAATGGATGTATAGCATTTGGGTAGCGTTTTCTGTGAATGGTTGGTGCATGTCTTAATAAGGAGCTTTACATAAGTAGCCTATTCAGACTCTGATGAATACATGGAGGGTTGTTTACATTGGCATTATTCACACAAGATGCCGCACACAGAAGGAGGAATTGTTTCATAACATTCTCTGTACATCCAGGCTACTGTCTGGCGGGGCTATAATATGAGCATACAAATTAGGTCAGACAGGGTATGAAAAATGAGCTTGAGACAACAACAAAGGTGGAAAGGAACACCACTGCAGAATAATGCCGGAGCACATTAACAGTGCTATTACAGTGCATTTTTCTGTTCAGAACAACATGGTTCCATGATTTTCCCGTGGCACACAATGGAATGGGCTTGCAGAACACATTAATTTTGCACTTGTAGAAATGACAGTCTTGCAATTACCATTCATTGTGCTTGATGCTAATTTAATGCAGTCATTTCCTTGCCAAAGTAATGTCTGAATGCAATCAAGTAAGCACTAATGCCTGAGAGATTCCACTAGTAAGTACCAATTTAAAGAAATCACCATTCCTTTATTTTTGGAGAGTTAGGTTAAACACAGCAGCTCATGCAAAACCTCTGGAGGTTAATAGGCAATAGTCATGAATAGAAAGGCAGGGGTATATCCTCTCCAGTTTAGCCCACATTGGAAATAAAGTTAAATGAAGCCTGAGTGTTGCCTTTGACATTGTTTCAACACGTTTACACAAAAGACATCTCAACGTTTCCTTATTATCTGTTTAGTAGAACGAGTTTACAATTGATTCAATTAGTAGCTTTAACCAAAAAATTTAAATAGAAGACTGCAAAACATCTTTGGGAATCATTTATGAGTATCCTTATGAGTCAAGTATCTTCTTGACTTGGGAGAATAACAGTGGTGCTGTGCAGAGGAGTCCCGCAGCTGTCCAGGAAGCTTTGTCTGCACGGAGGCAAGCTCCCACAGAGACTGGTAGGATCTCCCAGCCTGGTGCTGCCTCTGCTCTAGGCCTCCCTCCCCAGGTAGCCTGGTGCCTGCACAGCAGTTCCTGTGACCCCCCACCTCATGCTGGTGCTTCAGCCAAACAGCTCAGCCTCTACAAAGAGTAGCCATGCTCACCGGCTAAAGAATGAGCTCTATGCAAGGCCTTCTCTGGCCTTCCTGTGATAGTATGTGTCTATGTTTGCAGATGTGGAAAACATCCCTAATATTTTGCCAAGTGAATGACGCAAGGCCCAACCTACCATACACAGCGGGATTGTATGTTCATACAAAATAAAAACACACACACACAGAGATGAGGAAAACAAACCGTGGGAATACATGCCAAAATATTAACTGTGGTTATTTTTTGTAGGATAAAAATACTAGTATTTTTTCTTATTTTATTTTACTTTAACTTATAGGTTACATGTACAGAACGTGCAGGTTCATTACATAGGTATAAATGCGAAATGGGGTTTGCTGTACTTGTCAACCCATCATCTAGGTTTTATGCCCTGCATGCACTAGGTATTTATCCTAATGCTCTCTTTCCCCTTCCCCTCTACCCCCTGACAGGCCCCAGTGTGTGATGCTCCCCTCCCTGTGTCCATGTGTTCTCATTGTTCAACTCCCACTTATAAGTGAGAACATGCAGTGTTTGGTTTTCTGTTCCTGTGTTAGTTTGCTGAGAATAATGACTTCCAGCTTCATCCATGTCCCTGCAAAGGATATGAACTCATTCTTTTTTATGGCTGCATAGTATTCCATGGCATATATGTGCCATGTTTTCTTTATCCAGTGTATCATTGATGGGCATTTGGGTTGGTTCCAAATTTTTGCTATTGTAAATAGTGCTACAATAAACATATGTGTGCATGTGTTTTATTTTGTTTTTGCTTAGCTACATTTTCCAATCTTTACACAATGATGGACTTCCTCTAACATCATTATTTTTTTCTTCTTTGGAAAAATAACAGTAGGAGGCAGAGTTCTTACCCCAGACATTTGACGGGTAACTATCTCTGGTCATAAAATATCTAGCTATTAATTAGAAATTATTGTACCATCCAGTTGTATTTTCTGGAATGGAGTGGCATGGCCGGGTGAAAATTTTATATAATTATATTACCCTTGAAAATCTCAATACATTTAGCAGAACACATTTCCCACAAGCAGCTAAAGAGATCCCCCTTTAGATGGGCACGGGAGGAAGGGCTGCCTTGTTGGGGTCAGGTTGCATGAAAACAAAAACCTCAAGACACTGGTATCATGCTCAGCTATGTGAGAGGCTCACACTAGGACAGGATTGAGGCCCAAAATAGCCCAAGGACAGATGAGTTAGGTCTCTTCCTGTGTAGTATTAGCCCATCCAGGAGAAAGGCGGGCAGACTGCCCATACTATTTGAATTATCTCTGTTTTTCCTCTCCTCTCCTCCTCCCCATCCTCCTTCTCTTCTTCCCTTCTCCTCCTCCCTCCCTCTCCCCTCACCATAAGCACACTCTTTATTTCCACATTGATCCCTCTCTCTGTCTCTGTCTCTCATATTCCATACCTACTTTCCCTCTCTCTGTCTTTTGCTGGAGTATACAGTTGAATGTGTTAAGCAGATTATCATGTCCTGCCATTTCACTGAGCTAGCAAGACAAGGCTGGATTTGAGCAGGTGCTTCATGAACATCTCCTCTGCTTTGTAGATGATACAGACAGTTGTTATTTCCCACTAGAAGAACCATACAGGCAGGGGACTTCCTCTAACCTCTTATCCAAAACTCCTTCCAGAGCCCTTTTTCTTCTCTCCTCTCCTCTCCTCCCTTCCTTTTTCTTTCTTCCTTCCTTCCTTCCTTCCTTCCTTCCTTCCTTCCTTCCTTCCTTTCTTTCTTTCTTTCTTTCTTTCTTTCTTTCTTTCTTTCTTTCTTTCTTTCTTTCTTTTCTTTTCTTTCTTTCTTTGATTCAGTTTAGCTCTTGTCACCCAGACTGGAGTGCTCACTGAAACCTCAGCCTCCCGGTGATTCTACTGCCTCAGCCTCCCAAGTAGCTGGGTTTACAGGCACCCCCCTCCACCATATCCAGCTAATTTTTGTATTTTTAGTAGAGATATGTTTCACCATGTTGGTCAGGCTAGTCTCAAACTCCTGACCTCAAGTGATCTGCCCACCTTGGCCTCCCAAGGTGCTGGGATTACAGTGTGAACCACCACATTCAGCCCAGAGGCGCTTTTCAGATGGATCCATACAAATTTGACACCAGTTAAGGTGTTAACTCTCCCAGGGCTACTTGCATCTTAAGTAGGAATGCCAACTGGGGAGCGTTTTATGGTTTGGAGATAGCACAAGGGCGTTCTGGAAACCCTTCAACTAGACCATGCAGGTAGTCTCTCCATCTGTCTGCAGATAGCTGTGCAGCATCCCATCTTCTCAGCACATTCACCAACCAGCAGCAATTTAACTTGATGGAGGCTGGTCCCTTCCATGCCAGAATTCCTTGACAGCCCATTGGCTGCGGCTGAGGGGAGAATCATCCCAGCCTATGTGGAAGGTTTTAACTGTGGGTCTGCCATCCCCAGGATTATTTGGGACCGAATGGATAGCTGCTGGGTCATGCCAAAGATAGTTTTCTAACATTAAAATGGCTTTTTCTTAAAGAGTCAGATCCCACAACACTCAGGCATCTTATAGTGATCAATGTCACTTTTATTACTAACCACAAATTTGAAGCATAATTTGAAGTACACTCTCTGTGTCTTCTCTGTGTTTTTAAGCAAGAGGGAAAATAATAGACCTATAGTGGGGGCAGCAATTTCTGTGTTTCCCTTTCGTGCTTGAAGTATAGCCTCTCTCAAGGAGATTGAATAGTGTCCCCCAAATTCATGTCCACCGGGAACTTCAGAATATGACCTTGTTTGGAAGTGAGGTCTTTGCAGATGTGATTATGTTAAGGTGGGACATACTAAGTTAGGGTGGAAGCTAGATCCAATGAGTGTGTCCTCGCAAGAAGAGAAAAGGGCATAGAGATGTACACAGACACACAGAAAGAAAACAGTGTGAAGACGGAAGCAGAGACTGGAGTTACACTGTCCCAAGCCAAGGAACTCCTGAGGCTGCCAGAGGCTAGAAGAGCCAAGGAAAGGTTCT